AAACTCGTCAAAGAGACATATGAAGTCAATCCTTTGTAATCGTTTTCGGCAGAACGTTAGTGGAAGGATTGAGTTCATTTGCCTTTTACGTGAGTTCGTAGCTAAGTGCGGAGAATGGCAGCACTCTGTGATGATGCCGACTACGATGCCGGCGAAACGTTTGAGAATGTACCAAGTCCACTGTCTATGCTGGGAATTATGATAAATACTATGACAGAGGACATCGGACTAGATGCGTCGCCCTGACTACAAGACCAAGTTGCGACAACGAAGTCAACCCACTTCTAACTATCCTACATTCTTGTAATAGACTTACATTTGGTTTAGTCGAAGGTATGAAGACCAAGATGGTGTGGCCTTTTGTGTGGTCACAGTCTCCTTTCGTTGATACAAGTTGTTTGACCTTATTTTCCAACTTGGTAACATTAGTAGGAAGACTTAGAAAAACGCACCTAGTTCGGAGTCCATTGTATGCATTATCATTTCCAGAGTAGGACCGTGGACGTAGAACATTCCCAGACGTTTCTCCGGGATCGTAGTCGGCATCATCATTGAGTCTAGACATTCTTAGCACCATTGAACAACTCGTCAAAGAGACAAGTAAAGCCGATCCTTTGACCAAACGTGTGCTAAACAGTTGTGGTATCTCCCCTTCTGCCCTGGGCTATTCACATTTCCTATATCCTTCTATCACGGTTTTCCTTTTTTAATTTTTTTACCGTGTCTATTTCGATGTAGTGTGGTGTGCTCCTTTGAGCGGCTTTCATGAAAACCATTCACACTCCACTCCCCCTTCGCCCTTGTGCTGGGAATGTTGATCATAGTCTGCCATATTGTTACGCAGTCCTTCCCTAGGTCTTATCACAGGCTCTCTCTTACTACTCTCTCCCTGATTTACATATTTCACTCGACTCCCGCCACCCCATCTGTTCTGCTCGAGGCTTTATTCGCTCTCCCCTTGCGTCTGAGTGATTAATTCGAGGCTAAAGCCTTATAATAAGTGCCATGGTCACGCCTTTTCTACACGGACCGCGTCCATGGTAAAAACAGACCTACCGTTAGCCAAGTAGCTCCAGTCTCCGCCGCGTCTATCCTGTTTCTATCCTTAATTCCAAGTCTATGACTTGCCATGCCCTAGTCTCTTGTGTGCAACCCACAAATGTTGTGGTTCTACTTGTTTTGATCAGGCTCACTGAAGACGTCTCCTCTGCTTCTGATTGTTGCTTTCTCATCCTCCTGCGACCTCTTTTCCTAAAATTAAGGATATTTCCTTGATTCAGTCATCTTCTTTTTGCTGATCTTGGTGTTGCCTGGTCTTCTCTCAGTTTGTTTAGGTAATATGCTAAGTTTTCGCTAGTCCTGCCTTCTTAAAGTCTCCTGTTCATTAGATCTCTCTACGTTACTATTTCGATGGCTTTCCGGATCTTGTGTTTTCTTGTATCTTCACTACATGCAGCCAACCTTTCGGTCGATTTCGTGCCCGGTTCGTGCAATATGTTCCGCTATTTCGGATCTTTTCGTATCCATGTTCCTGCAGAGTCTTTGATGTTCCTTTATTCGTAGGCCGATTTTTCTTTCTGTTTCACAGATATACTTTTGCTCACAGTTGCCGCCTTTGATGCGATAAACTCCTGAGCATTCAAGTTTGTCATTCTTCTCGTGTTGTGTCGGCAGACCTGTGAAAAGTGTTTTCTTCTTCTTTGTTATCACTCTGATGTTCCATTTCCTTAGTAACGGTCGCAATAGTTGGCTCAGTTGTGATGATGGCAGGCAAATCCACTTTTGGTTGTCAACCTGATTCCTGATCTGATTTTCATAAAATCTAAGTTGAAATCGGCCCTTTATAATCTCCACATTTTTTTCTATAAATGCTCTGGGTTATATGTTACTAAGACAAATCCGTGTAACTTTGTCCGACTCCTCATCCCTAAACTTATTTTTCGTTAGAAGTTGTATAGAAGTTGTTTGACCTTGTTTTCGCAACTTGGTCATAATGGTAGGAAGACTGATCGAAACGCACCTTGTCCTGA